ATCATATTCAGTGAAGCCAGGGTTTCATCTCCACGAAAATCTTTGTGATTTATTCTCATAAATTTTTTTGACGCATTTTATTTTCATCCTTGAGTTTGTTCATTTTCAACTCAGTTCATCTCTGTTCGTAATAAGGGTTTCATCACCACCACTTCACTCTGGTAAGTGTTTCTATTCCTAAACTAGTTTTTCTCTGTAATACAGTTCATTGTATTTTATAATATTCTTCAATTAATTAAGGTTTCTATTTCGTAATAATAGCTAGATTAATTAGGATTTCGATTACATTTTGTATCTTCTTGAAACTTGTTATGTGAATCTGTTTATAATTTTCTCCTGCATTTAAATTTTTTTTGATGACATTAGATTTATTTTACTTTATGTGCTTGCATGATTTTGTTGAAGTTAGTAGTTTGGTTGAGATGAATTTCTCTACAATTTATTTGACATTAGTTTGGTTGAGATGAATTTTCTCCAACATTTCAATTTATATTGCTTGTTTGATTTTCATTAGTTAGTTTCCTCCATCTGATGAATGTTCTCTGACCACAATTATAATCACATTAACTTATATGCCTTGATTGATTTTCTCTGGCATCGGAATTTTCTGTGACCCATCAAATTATGTTGCTTGTTTGAATTTTCATTGTTTAATTGTCTCATTGTGTGTAATTTTTCCCTTGAGATGAATTTTCTCTAGCATCACAATTTCTTTGAATACATGGATTCACTTTACTTTATGTGCTTATTTGATCTTGTTGAAGTTAGTAGTTTGGTTGAGATGGAATTCTCTACAATTTCTTTGTCATTAGTGCCTTGATTGATGCTAGATAAAATTGGTTTGTGAGTAACTCTATTTTTTCTAATTTATTCAAAACGCAGAGAACATTGTTAGCAAATTAGACAAAATTGGTCAAAACACAAAGAAATTTGTTAGAAATTAGGGAAATTTAAAAATACAGATAAATTTTGAAAATAAAGAGAAATTAAGCAAACCAGAGAAATTTCAAAACATAGAAATTGTCTATGTTTTGAAATTTATTTGGTTTGAAATTTCTCTACATTGAAATTTCTCTGTAAATATTTGAGGGACTCTAGCTACTATGAAAATATTTCATGTCCTTTATGTTATAAAATCTTAATATGAGGGACTTTCCAAAAAATTCACCTTTTATTTATTATTTTTGTATGTAATAAAAACAATAATACAATAATTAGTACAATTTTTAACAATAACAAGTTATAATCAACTTAATTGAATTTATTGATGTTAATTTGTTTACTATTATAAATATATATAATACTTATTATATAAATCTATAGAATCTTAGAACCGAATCAAGTCAAACCATTACACATGTTTAACAATTCGATAACGATTTTAATTTGTTTAAAATTATAGCAATTCATTTAGTTTATGATTTACTTTAAAATTGAACCAATATAATCCATGAACATCCATTAATATTAGTGTATGTTTGGTTGAATTTCCAAAATATATATTTAATAAAATTTCAAAAATTATTTGGTGAATTTTTTTAAAAAAAAAAACTATTATTGTTTGGGATGTAGGTTGGCTATTTAGTTATATTAACCTGGGGTAAAAAAGTCTTGTTTATGATAGATTTTTTGATTTTTTGGACCTTTATGAAAGAAAAAATGAAATGATTATAATTTGGATGTAGCATTTTGTCTTCCTGAGTTAAAAAAAACTTATTTTTATCTATTTGTGGCTATTTTAACTAAAAAAAATCAATTTTAACTTATGACAACTGAAAGCTATATATATATATATATATTGCGGAAAATAATTTTTAAAATATAACACTTTTTGTGTCAAACTAATTTCTAACTACTGTAAAAGTTCCCAAAATAGAGCGGGAGAAAGAAGAGAAATAGAAGAAGAAACGAGGCTGAATAAATGACTAATAGAGAGATTTATGAATAAATGACCTAAGAAAAAAATAACAAAACTTTTACGGAAATTCTATAACATATACTTCATAAAATGCCCAGTGATCTTAACACTTTAAGTGCCCTATCTATAACTGCTTACAATTGTTCGGAGTCTTATGATGGATGATAATTTACAAATAGCTTTTCTAAATGGTTCAAATCCAAATAATTATTAGAAAGAGAAATTTTTTTTAGGTTCTTGATATTAAGATTTTATAAGATAAAAAACATACAATTTTTTCGTAATAGTTGGAGTTTCTCAACATTTTTACAGAGAAAATTCGATAGAGAGAAATTTTGTCCCGACACAAAGAAATTTAGAAATATCTTTGGTACGATCATAGTAAAATTTCTAAATTAGAGAGGGATGTTTCACAAATTTTTCCTTATTAGAATGGTTATTTAGAAATTTCTTTAATATGATCGTAAAGAAATTTTATCGAGGGACTTAGCTAATAAAAAAAAACTATATTGGACCTCTCCTACTACCCAAAGTTAGAGAAGGCTGTTTCGCAAATTTTCCCTTATTGGAATGGTTATTTATCACTCTTTTCAAGTTTTAATATTTATTTTTAAATTTAACAGTTCATATATAGTGGATTAATTGAGCAAACTTGGGATTCAAAAGTTATTTTATGATTGGGTTTGTGATAACAAAATTAGGCCTAATGTTTTGCTAGGTCAAACTTGAAATAACACATATATCCTTATTATATAGTGCAAGCTTGGCTTGAACCGGCTAGGTCAATAGTTATGGTTTTAAACTTAACCAAACCAAACCGAATCCTAGGATATATTTTTTAAATTTCTAAGTCATAAAAATAAGAATACAATAATTAGTAATAAGATTTTAACATTATTCTTAACTGTGAATTTAACAAGTTTGAACCAATTGCCAATTTGTCTACTATCATAAGTATATGGAAAATGTTATAAGTCTTAAATTTTCTATTAAATAAATTAGCAAATGTGTCACATGGGCGTGGGGTTCGCAAACGCTGCACCAAATCCATCACCAAATTCAAATTTGGTGAAAAAGTTTTTTTTTGCTGCTCTAATGGTTTTATCAAACCTATATCAAATTGAGAATATATAAAATATTTCACCAAACTAAAGATGCTTTATGTCTTTCACCAAATCATTGTTCATTACCGTTGTATTTTCAGCACCGGATGTCTCTCCCAATGTCCTCCTGAAGACCACCTCAAGGCAAAATTTTGTGAAAATTTTATATTGGAAGGTCGACCTCCCGGTTAACTTCTCGGATGACCCCCTATCATTTTGGTCACTGTTGTTGTTCCTTGTCCCATTGTGAAAATTTTACATTCGCCGGTCGATTGGATGGTCGTTCGCCCGGTTGATCAGTGGTTTGATGAAAAGTCAAATCCTTCCGTTGGAGTAGGTAATATCAAATAGAGTTTTTACTTAAATTTGGTGAAAAAAATAATATACCGTTGGAGATGCCCTAAAGCTATGTTTGGCAATGGATTGTAGGCTAAAAAAACACAAAAGGAAAAATTGGTTACATAAGTTAATAAGACAAAATGTCACATCCAAACCATAATCATTACACTTTTTCTCTCACAAAAGTTAAAAAAAGCCAAAAACAAAAACCAAACGAGATTAAAAAATCATGTTAAAATAGTCAAAAAATTAAAAAGTCAAGTTATTTTAACTCTTTCCAAACAAAGATTAAGTATAACAATTTAGGTACGATTTTAATTTTTCTGAAATGATAAAGATTGGTTCTTAGTTTATTCTAGAATTGGACAAATCTAATCCATTAACACCCGTCAATATTAAAAACGTGTTTTTGAAAAAAATTTAAAAATAATTTGGTGAAAAAATAAAAATCTAATTATTTATACATTTTTGGGGGAGAATAATTTTTAAAAAATTAAAAACAACACTTTTTTGTTTTTAATTTTACCAAACTACTAATGTCTAACTTAAAAAAAGGGGGAAATTTTTATGGAGAAATTTCATTTCAGTGCAACTTTAATTTTTTTTTTTTACATATTAATGATAAATTGTAAAATATTAAAAAATAATTTTACAGAGTTTTCCATTTGAAATTATTTTTTATCTTTACCTCTGAAACATTATGTCCCCAATTATTATTGAGTATAGTTTTTTTTAAAAATATTAGTGTAAGAGATTATGATATTAATTATTAATATATATATATTTTGTAAATATTTTTTTACTGACACCATATAGTGTAATTTTAAAAAAAAAAAAAAAATCATGTTGAGATCCCTAAAAAAAAAATAGAGAAAACAAATCTGCCGGTGATGGCAGTCGCTGGTGATGGCAGTCAGAGAGGCCTCGTTTGGCAAGAGGCTATTTTAGTCAATTAGTCAAAAAGTTACTAAATTAGCCAAAAAGTCAACAACCCATACCAAAAAGTCAAAGATTCTATTTTCTCTCTACTTTTTGCACATCTTTTCGTAATTAGCCAAAAAGTCATTCCAAACATACAACTTTTTTTTACCTACCTTTTTAGCCAAATAGCCAAAAAATTACTAAATTAGCCTGTTCCCAAACGAGGCTATAATGCCATTTTGGGAACATAAATGCAACAAAATTCTTTTGAGAAGTGTCAAAAATGTAGTCTTAAAATTATAAATTAGGACCTATGAAAAAAAAATAAATCTCTTATGTTGGATAAAGACATTTTGATCATTTCAATTTGATTTAATACCATAAATAAATATTAAACTAAAAAGTAAAAAGTCAACTTTTTAAATCATTTCAAAAAAAATCAAAAAACTTAATAAAAAGTCAAAAATCAATTTTTTATCAACTTCCTAAAACCAATCATAGGAGAAGAAACAGAATCCAAAGCGACCATACAAAATTTTAAATAATCGGACGGTGACGAAGTGAGACGTGTCACGGATCCGTGTGAATTGAATTGGGAAGCGCTTTGAACTAAAATAAAAGCCCCCCAAAAAAACAAAAATCTATTTTTTGGCATTTCCCGCCGTTAAAAGAGTTGGCGGCAACTCCAAATAAATTTACACTATTATTCATATTTTGATCATTTCTTTCTTATAATACCCCGCCCCCAAAATCCCTAATTCCTTCGTAACCTTTCTGCGAAAGAAAATCTCTGTCTGAGAGAGAGAGAGAGAAGAGAGAGAGAGTGTGTGTGAGATTGTGGGAATTGGGGAAAATGGGAGGTGGAGGAACATCGAAGAACGCAGCGAGACCCAGACCCAAGAAGAGAGTGGAAGCCGACGACTCGTCTTCTCCTTCTTCTCTCAAGCGAGCCCATGACGGCAGTGCTTTCACTCGTTGGTATTTATTTATTTATTTATTTCCGTACAAACACAACATGTATACCCCTCTTTTCTTTGTTTCCCGAAGAGGGTTTTTGTTTTGTTGATTGATTTCTTGGTTTTAATTTTATATCAACATTTTTTTTTTTTTTTTGATAATGGTTATGGGTTGGGAGATGGATAATTGAATGTAAAAATTATGATGGGAAATTTGATTTGTTAAATTAATTATATATTATGGGTGCAGTGAAAAGTGCAGCAGGCAGGTGCCTGTTGTCCTGATTGGCTGGCACGATTGCCACATTGAAGCTCAAATTGAGAGGTCTCTTGGTATGTATTTCTTTCCCCTTCCATTTTTTGTCCATCACTTTGTTATGTTTCTATCTTCTTGTCTGCATATTCGTAGTAAATATACATACCCACATAATAGAAATACATAAAACCATATACTAATTGTCCCTGTCTGTTTATGATGCTTATGGTTCAGTTATTGATTTTTCTTTTTCTTTTTTTCCCTCTCTTTTATAATGGTTTATTTTTTTTCTTGGGTTTTTTGTTACAGATGCACAAATGTTGGAAAATGAAAAGCAATGTGATGCAATACCAGCAGAAAAGTAAATTCACTTCCACTTTATGCTTGTTTCATGCTACATATTGATGTTTAGATCATTTTGCATGTTTAGCGGTTTCTTAATTTGATTTCTGAACACTTTTTTTTTTTCTTCTTGCAGAAATAAAGTAAAATCTACTGAACCAAATCCAAAGAAAGTGAAGAAGGAAAAGAAAGCTAAAGATCCAAACCAGCCCAAACGTCCCCAAACTGCTTTTTTCCTCTTCATGTAATGCCTCCCTCCCTCTCTCTCTCTCTCTCTCTATATATATATATATATATAGACACATTTGATAACATTCATTATGCTTCAGGAGTGAATTCAGGAAAACTTACAAAGAAGCCAATCCAGACTGTAAAAGTGTTGCTACGGTAGAAATTGAGCTCTTGACTTTTTACTGCAGATCATTTTTGTATTTCTGGGATTTATTGAATGTGATGTATTTGCCCTTTTGGATGAAACTTAGGTTGCAAAGGAAGGTGGTGAGAAATGGAAATCTATGACAGATGAAGTGAGTGACAATCTGATTTTATTTTTCCAAAGCAAAAATGTTTTGTCAAAATGTTCTGACCCTTTTAACCTTAATAATTCCTTTACTAGGAGAAAAAGATTTATCTGGATAGAGCTGCAGAGCTTAAAGCAGAGTATGGCAAGGCTTTGAATTCAGATAAGGATGTTCAAAATGCAGATGTAAGTTTCTTCTTGATGCCCAAGTTTTTTCTAATTTATATCTTCTATTTGATTTGTTTTATTTTTCTCAATTAATGCATATTTTAATTGATCCAAGGATGAATTCATATTTGTTGTTTGGGCAGGACAAAGAAGATGGTTCATTGGATAAGGAAGCACAAGTGGAGACAGTGTCTGATGATGAATAGGAATATCTTCTCCTGTTTAGGTTTCTTTCATTTTATTTTTTTTTCTTTACATGTTTTGTGGTGAATGATTGTCCCTGGACCTTTGCCCTTGTTGATGTTGAATATAGTTTAGCCTTCCAAGTCTCCTATGAATGCTATAATGCTCTTCAAACCAAATTGTCCATTCAGTTTTCCATTTTTTGTGCTCTGGATTCTTAATACCGGTAGGTTATTAAGGTTAGTTTGTAAGTGTACTTGGAATTTCTGCTTTGTGATCTATAGCATTTGAAAGCACATTTAAGATTGAATTTATTGGACTACAAAAGTTCTCAAGTGTGATCATGCCATTAAGTCAAGGTTCTTAACTTTCAATTATTAAAGGTAACAAAAATGAGCAAATAGGTTGGTAGTGGAAAAACCAAACGGAAAGACATGCATATGTAGTTGTAGGAAGACCATAATTTATCTCCTTTTCCATTTGAAATTGCTCAAATGGTACGAGTATAACCATTTTGGCAATTGAATTGGCATTTTTTTTCTTGGTTTCTTGTCCTTACATGGTGGCAGTTGCTTGCCACATAAGCATAGATTGTGGCCATATGCAGCAGTAGGGAAAATATATTATGATCTCTCTTGTGGGATTTCTCTATATAATGTGTACCCTCCTGAAGTTTGCATGTACAAGTCTAGCCATTGCATCTTCAACAATACTCCAAAGCTTGCAGGAGTTGTGCCTTTATTTTGTTCCTTGAGACATCTAACCTTTGTAGCTTAATCAAGTTTGAGATTCAACTATAGATTTGCACTGTGACCTAATTTTTTTAAGATTTAGAAGTTTTCCAATTTGGTCAGTGATTCTTTGTTTGTGAGCTGGTTTGGATATATGGATGAAAGATTGATGATTGTTCAAGTTGCACTAAAAATGATGGAATAGGGACCCCTCCCCAAGTCAATCTCTAACACTCTTTAACAAATTGAATAGGGACTTTCTTTGGGGATCAACCATTGAGACCAAAAAAATTCATGCTATTAGGTGGGAGACTATTATCAAATCTAAATCTTTTGGTGGGCTAGGGATTAGACACTTTGACTTCAACAAAGTAGCTATGGCTAAACTCAATTGGAGGCTGAGAAATGAGAAAAATGCTATTTGGGCCAAGGACCTAAATGTTAAATACCCCAACAAAGAAAAAAAGCCAGCAAGGCATCTCACACTTGGAGGGTCATTCTGGAAAGCTCTCATCTATTCAAAATAGGTACCAAAATCCTACTCAAGAGTGGGCTCAATACCTCTTTTTGGTACCATGATTGGATTGGTTTTGGTTTAATTAGACATTTGGTAAAAGGAGCACTTGATAGAGAAGAACTTATTGTTAGGGACTGTTGGGTCAACAACAGTTGGAATTTCTCTAACATCTCACTCACTTTACCCTTTAGCCTTCTCAACTCAATCCATTGCATTTTTCTCCCTTGGTTCTCTAATGAACCAAATCAAATTTGGTGGAAATACTTGCCTAATTGTGTCTTCAGTAGCAGCTCAGCCTATCTTCTTGTCAAGGATTTTCACAAATCCCCTCCTTTGGACAATTGGTCTTGGGTATGGAAGATTAATGCCAACCCTTGCATCCGTCACTTTTTCTGGTTAGCCTTGCCCCAACGGATCACTACAAAATCTTTTCTCCATCGTAGAAATATCTCCCCGGATGACTTGTGCCCCCTCTGCAATTCCCATCCTGAAACAACCATCCATGTCTTCTGATATTGCACTGTGACCAATAATTACTGGACGTTTATAGGCATTCCCCTCACTCATGCTGTGACAATTCTGTCATGTATAATATTTTATATTTGGTTAATTATGTAGATTTGAGATTTTAATTTATTGTTATCCTAATTTAATTTGAGATTTATGAGAATTGTGGAATCTGATTCGTATATGATTCTATTAAGGATTTATTTTGAAAATTAGAAATTAATTGTCCAAATGGTCTAAGGAAGTGAAACTAAGAAGTTGAATCAATTTAATTTTAATTACGGATCCATTTAGAAGTTTAACTAAATATTTGATTTAGCTTAATAAAATTGAGATTTGATTAATTAGGTTCGAATTGAAGTTAATTAAGTTAGTTAAATTATGAGGATTGAGAATTGTGATTATTACGAATTAAATTTATTTATGGGGTATCTAATTTGAATATATAATTTATTGACAGAAATTTAAAGTTTGATTAGGAATCAAAAAACAATTTGGGAAATCAAAATTTATGACAATAAGTTTAATTTAATATTTGGAACTTTTTGGAAGTTTGATTAAAAATCTGATTCAGATTGATAAATTTAAATATAATTAATTGGGCTTTAAAGGATGTCAAATTAGACTAATTAAATTATGTGGGATTTGTGATTAGTTATGATTAATTTAATTATATACTAATCAAGATTTATTAAGATTGTGTTAATTAAGTTAATTTTAATCATAAATTGGATTATCTAAAGTAATTTGAGGATGTATTTGTGCAAAGAAATTCTGTGTATATGTGTGCATGTGAGTGTTGTGTTGGAAGCTTGATTAAGTGTGCACGTGTGCAATGTGGTGGCAACAAGAGAGGCATGTGTGTGTGTATATGTTGGTGAGCTCAAGAGGCAAGTGTAATTCATTTGGCCCACAAACTTTTTTGCTGAGATTCATGTGTGTGTCTATGTTAAGAAGTTAAAGAGTTGAATTCATTTTTGCTTTGGGCTGGGAAACAGCCGAGAGAGAGAAAGCTTTTAGAGAGTGAGAAAGCTCAACGCTTATGGAATTTGAAGGCAAATTGAAGTTCTAGGTAAGAAATCTAAGCCTAATTCTAGCAAGAAATTCATGTAAAAATTTAATTTAAGAAATGAATGGGTTCAATTTCATGTAATTAAAAGGAAATTAGTAAGAAGATGATGAAATTATTAGATTTATGATTATAAAAATTAACTTAGAAATTAATTATTTGGGGTTTGATTTTGCATATCTTATATGGATTTGAGTCTTATTTTCACATGCATGTAATTTGGAGAAATTAAAGAATTAATTCATGAATATGGTTAAGGTTAATCAATATGGAAATAATTGTAATTCTTCAATTGAACTGGGGTTTGGAAACTTTGATATATATGGGATGTAAATTTATACGTATCATAAATTTCTTGGAATTGATTTCATGTTTTGGTGAAATAAGAACTAAGTTTTGGAAAATTATGAGTTCATGAACAAATGACTTCAATTTTTAAATTAAAGAAGTTTTGATATAAATGATCTAAAATTGATAATATTTTCTTGATTAATTAAGAGTTTGTATGTTTCTAGACAAGTCATGTATGAACCCAAGTTTTGAGATTATATTTTGAAAGTTTAATTCATATTTTAGAATTTGTGAGTTTGGAATTGGGTTTGATAAGAAAAACATAAATTGAGTTGAATTTGATAAACTTAAAGTTTGTATGTACATGTATGTTAAAGGATTGTCATGAGTTTCCATATTTGAGTACAAACATGCATTTTATAATGAATTGAAGGCTATTTGGCACATGTAAGCATGTTGATGTTGAATTTCATGAAGTTGATCATCAATTGTACTATTTAAGTTGAAAGTGAAGCCTATATTTCACATGCATGTATATTTCAAAATGATATGGAAATTATTTTGTATGAGTTTTGAAAACATGAAGTTGGTATGGGTTGTCAAGAAAAATGTGAAATAATTTGGGAATTGAATTGTGATTTTGGACAAATTAGACTCAATTTTTTTATGTCCTCACATTATATAAAGATTTCCATGATTTTGTATCAAGAACATGAGCTTTAGACCATTTGAATGCTAAGTTTGAGCTTTAAATGCAATTCTGAAAATTTTAGAATTCGGTATGTCCGCTCGAGCAGGGAAAACACCGCTCGAGCGTGAAATGTTGGCTTCCAGAACTTTTGCAGGCATTGATGTCCACTCGAGCGGAAAGAGTCACGCTCGAGCATAGAAATGTAGTAACTAGTACTTTTGCAGACCAAAAGGGTCCGCTCAAGTGGCCAAAGCTGCGCTTGAGCGGAGAGCCCTATCCCTGAAATTGTGAAAAATGGTTTTGTGTTTTGTTTTCCGTTCTCTTTCATTTCAAAGCACTATTAGGCATGCACTAAACATTGTAAATGAATTAAAGAACATGAAAGAAGCCTAAGAATGTTAAACAAGTTAAATTACAGAATGAATTGTAATATGACCCAATGTGCTATGAATTATGTAGGGTCAAGTGCAAGGGCGAATCAAGCACCAGAGCACTGTGAGTAATATTTTAGTAAAGATATTTTTGTGTATGCATTATTTTCTAAATGTTACGCATGTGGTAAATTTTTGACTCTATGAATTTGTACTATGAGTGAGTATTCTATTCGTTTGATTCGTAATAAAGTATGTGAAGGGATTTATAGATGAGTAGAAAATGGGCCTAAGGCCGTTTGACATGTTTGACGAGGACACAGATTGGGCCCAAGGCTGTTTGGAATGCTTAACAAGATAGACTAAAGGTCATCTTATATACAAATTGGACCAAAGGTCGTTTTGAATAAAGAATTGATTGGATCGAAGGTCGTTTTGAATATGAGTATGGATGTGATCACGATCATATGCGCATGATTATGAATATAAGAATGATGGACCCAAGGTCATTTTGTAATATGATATGGAGGACCGGTGGTCCTTGGTACATGGATCCATTAGACCTAAAGTTGGTCTATGAATGAGTATTGGACCTGAGGTCGTTTAGTATAAACATGAGCATAGATATGAATACGGAAATGATGGACCTGAGGTCGTTCTGTATTATGATTGGGCCCGAGGCCGTTCTGTAATATCATTGGACAAGTATTTTGGACCGAGGTCGTTTTGTATGAATGAGAACTTGGACCCGAGGTTGTTTTTCCCCTCTGATACACCTTGAGCATGATAGATTGGACTTGAGATCGATCTGATTTTGATTTACCTGTAATATGTGTTAATGTGATTTACTTAATTACAGATCTCATTCATATAACCTCTTCACTTTGGTATTATTCACTGGGCATTAGCTCACTCCTTATTTACATATATGTAGGTGTAGGTGAGCAATTGGAGGATCAACATTAGAGTTTGCCTGGGAGCCCGCCTCTTTGTCAAGCCACCCAAGAGTGCCTCTATGTAGAGGCTTTGTTCTGTTTTGTTTTGTCAAGCTTGGGATAATCTTTGTACTTGGTTAGAAGTCCTTTACATAGAGTGTAAGATATGATATAAAGTATGTCTTCGTACATGTATAT